GCACAAAACCCCCAGATGTCGCTCCGCGCGGGAGCGACATCCAAATTGTCGGGGTGTGAATGTTGGTAGACATGTCAATTCCAAAATCTGATCACTTGCGCCCTGTACAAGATGTATCAGCCCTGTCACAGGTGTGACAGGGCCCAATCAACGATAAGTGTGCCCTTTCCCCGTTATAGCTCCTTCCTCTCTGTGGGTACCTCTCCACTCCTCAAGCTGTCACTTCTTCCTCAAATTTGACCAATCGCCATTGCATCTCGACTTTGACTGCGTAACTCGACTGATGGTGTATCCATCTTGACAGGTAAGTATACTTCCCTTTCTCTTTCTCTCTTTAGATGCTTTTATGTTGACAGATATTTGGGTTCTGGGCAACGTGTGTGACATTGTCGCCAATCTTCCTCCGCCACCATGCTGGCCCCGGCGACTTTGCAGTGCTCTCAAACAGTGTGTAGGTTTCATTCTTATGTTCTAGTTTGTTTTTAGTATCTGTCCTTTCATCTTCTATCATTAGTCTCATCTTGAACTGATTGCCTCTGTTGCGTTCTTCGAACAACGCCACTCTCTCCCCCAAAACAACTGCAGACTTCTCTCCGTCCTTGGCGAATTTGTGATCTTGCCGCTCCAGGTACTTCTTTCTTGCTCCTTCTAATTTGTTTATCCGCCTCTTGCTCTTGGTTGCTACCGTATATCTTTTCTGTGTTGACTCTGCCATGATCCTTAGTGTCATCTAGGATCCGACCAACAACTCTTGTTGCTCAATTTGGTTCCTCCCCCCCTCACTCAATCTTGTTACCACATCTTCTTTGCTCTATTTCTCGGTCCATCACCAGAATACACTGTGACAGTACAGCGACAGGGCTGAAGACAGGCGCGGCTATCTAGGAGGTTAGGGTTCAGGAGGAAAAGGGTGCTGCGGAATCTTGTAACTACAATCATCACCATTAGGGTTTTAGATCGTGTATTTAGATTCCACATACAGAACCTTGTTTTCCCTTTCTTTTCTTCTTTTCCTCACTCATCTAGTCGCTTCTTTCACTACACCTCAAACAGGTGATTAAGCTTTTCTTTTTCCTTCAGTCCTCGCTCCCCTACCTTGTGCTCACTGCGGACCACTGGCGTTTCTCAGGTTTGAACTTCTTTCTTCTTTTCTTTTCTTTTGTCTGTCGCTTTTCTTTTCTTTTTGCTTGCAATGCACTCATCTAGTCGCTTCTTTCACTACACCTCAAATAGGTGATTAAGCTTTTCTTTTTCCTTCAGTCCTCGCTCCCCTACCTTGTGCTCACTGCGGACCACTGGCGTTTCTCAGGTGATTAAGCTTTTCTTTTTCCTTCAGTCCTTGCTCCCCTACCTTGTGCTCACTGCGGACCACTGGCGTTTCTCAGGTTATGAGCCCAGCCTACTAGAGCACTCGAGTAGTTTGGTTTGCGATTCGACATTATTGGAATTATCTCTCTGAAACTTAGTCACCGTGGCAGGAAACAAAGAAAACGACGATCTTCCCTCTACCTTGATCGGCCGATTTCCATTCACTCCTGCCCCAGAAGATCAGCCAGCCCCTGAGCACAATACTACCGCCGATAGTCACTCCTCTGAGTCAGACTCAGGCGACAAGGTTTCGCAATCTCTAGTTCCTAACTCCAACACCATGACGGAATCTTCTCATCACTCCTCCTTTAAAACCGTCACCGATCCCCTTGACGACTCCAACTTTGCCACTTGGAGATTTAAAATCATCGCCGCCCTCGGCTATCAAATGTTAGACAACTATGTTCTTGAGGACGATCACAAGGAACTCAAGAAAGACCCCAGGTACAAGGAGAAGAAGAAGCTGGCGACAACCTTCATCCGAATGCACCTGAATGAGGAAAATGCGAATCAATTTGTCGGTCACAACTATAAAACCTATGAACCCAAGGAGCTCTGGGATGCCATCCACAATCACTTCGCGGACCAATCCATCGAGAACACTGCCAATGTTTGGGACAAACTGTACGACATTCGGTTTGGGGAAGACAACATGAAGGAGGCGGTCAATACTTTCCGGACTACTTTTCAGCTGCTCATTGAGGTATCCGCCGACAAACTCGACAAGAATACCCTTGAATTATGCTGGATTTTCCTCCTCCTCAAGCGACTCCCGTCTTCTTTCGCCATGTTCCGATCCATTCAATTCGCGACCATGAAAAAGTCCGATTCATCTCCCGACCTCACCAGCTTTCTGAAGGATCTAGAAAGCGAAATTCGACGTCAGTCTGAAGCAAGCTCAGTGACCACCCCTCAACCCTCGGGAACAGCCCTAGCGGTCACTCAGACTTCTCAACCAGCATCCAACCCTCCTCAAGCTAAACCTTCCACCTCCAAAAAGGCTCGAGTCAAATGTGAAAAAGGTGTCCACAATCCCGCTGCCACTCATTCCGAGGAAAATTGCCACTCCCTACACCCCGAAAAAGCCGTAGCATTCTTTCAAGCCACCATGGATCGGGCTAATGCCAGGATTGCCAAGAAGGCAATGCTCAGCGTCAACTCGGGAGTGGTCGACTCCATCATCCTGGACAGCGGGGCCACCGGTCACTACCTTAAATTCCGGTCCTATTTCACCTCTTTTCAATCTATTTCCTCTACGGTTTATGCTGCTAACGGGTCGGGTATACCCATTATGGGTGAAGGCAGTGCTGTCATTCCTACCGCTGCCGGACCTATTCACGTCGATAAGGCGTACTTTGTTCCCGATCTTTCCAACTCATTACTACCCCTCACCTACTATCTACAACAGGGCTACTCCCTTGTGCCAATCGACAACGGGTCTCGCTTCAGCTTTCAAAAGGACGGTCACACCCTATGTGTCGGCACTACCTCTGAGAATGTCCTCACAATCGACATGAATCATGCAAGAGCCTTCTCTGTTTGGACTGATCCAATCATCCTCCACAACTCGCTCGGTCATCCCAGTCTTCCATACCTCAAGGCTGCCTATCCGGACCTCCAAATCAGCGATCTTCAATGCACCAGTTGCGACCTCTCCAAAATGCATCGACAACCGTTCCCTGGGCACTTCCCAATCGCTGAGGGTTTGTTAGACTGCATCCACATGGATCTGTGTGGTCCAATTACTCCAGTCACTCGGGGAGGTAACCGATATTTTCTGAAGATCATCGACGGTCACAGCAAATTTCGTTTTATCTACCCGATGCCGAGTAAGTCGGATACCTTCACACATTTCCAAAATTTCCTTTGTCGTGCTGAAACGTTCACCGGTCGAAAACTAAAATCCGTAGTCTCGGATAATGGTGGTGAATTCGTCAATAAACGATTCACGGAGTTATTCTTGCAAAAAGGTATATCACATCACACCTCGGCCCCATACACGCCGCAACAAAATCCATTCGCCGAACGAGGAAACCGGACCACCGTGTAAAAGGCAAGAGCTATGCTTCTTACGTCCGGCTTAGATCTTTCCTGGTGGGGGGAGGCGGTCACAACATCGGTCTTCCTGGAAAATCACTCCCCGGACAGCTCCATCGGCATGAAATCTCCCATCGAACTCTGGACTGGGAAACCACCGGATCTGTCTTGCCTTCAACCCTTTGGGTGTAGGGCTGTCTTACTGGAAGAGCGGAAATTCCGAACCTCCAAGTTCTCGCCATCAGGAGTTGAAGCCGTCCTAATCGGCTTTGACGAAACTCACAAGTCTTACAAGCTGTGGGTTCCTGATACTAAGAAAATCATTATCTCTCATCATGTTCGTTTCTTTCCATCAGAATTTCCTCTGATGAGTCCCTCTTCTGCCCGTAGTCCCGTGCAAGAATGGTGCTCCGACTTCTTCGAATTGGCATCACCCATTCCAGAATCAGTGATCTCCGAACAATCACCGGATCAAACTGGATCGGACAACGAGCAACCCGCCTCGTCTGGTCAAATCGACTCCCTCCCTTCAGAGGATCAATCGACTACTCAAGGACATCCAGATTCTGGAATCCCCTCGGATGTCGATCCCCATTTGGAGGAAATCTCCGATGACTTCGCAAACCCCCCCGATATTCCCCCCATTCCGACAACTTCTTCCACCGTAAAAGGCTACGCCTATGTACCTCATTACGATGTAGCCCCGAAGAACATCAGCAGCAACATCGATCCAGCCAACATCGTTGAAGGTTCCCGTCGTCACAGGGCTTGTGCTGTGGAACATCCTCGTCTACATAGGGCTCTGGTCATCATCGGAGAACCGGCCTCGATGAAGGATCCAAAGACATTTGCGCAGGCCATGCGTCGGCTTGACCGAAATGAATGGCTCATGGCTGTCGAGGTCAAACTAAACAACATTCGACGCCATGAAGTTTGGGTGGTAGCCCCAATGAAGGTGGGAACACGGAAATTGGACACTGTCTGGGTATTTAAGCGAAAGTACAACGCCGACGGAGAACTTCTCAAATTCAAAGCTCGACTATGTGTTCGGGGTTTCCGACAAATAGAAGGCGTAGACTATGGGGCGACTTTTGCCCCGACCGGCCGACTAGCCACTCTGCGGGTTCTCCTTGGCCTAGCAGCAGCACATGATTACCAGGTTGAGCAAATGGATGTTTGATGCGCCTTCCTCAATGGCATCCCCGATGAAGAAATCTTCATCAAAGTACCCGACGGGGTCGACATTGAAGTTCCGCCCGGTTTTGGGCTCAAACTTCAAAAATCCCTCTATGGATTGAAACAAAGCCCCCGATGTTGGTACCATGCCCTGAAGACTTTCTTCTTATCGATCAACTTTGCCCCCGCCGAGGCGGACGCCTGCCTGTTCGAAGATTCAACTCGACCCTGCTTTGTTTACGTCCATGTCGATGACCTAGTCATCGTTGGGCCGGAGGTCGGATTCTTAAAGAAAGCCATCGCCGAAAGATTCGAGATGGAGGACCTGGGACCCTGTGAGTGGGTCCTTGGGATGCGGGTAGTTCGAGACAAATCTCGTCGAACCATCTCACTCTGTCAAGACCGGTACATCCGAGAAATCCTAGAAGAATTTAACCTCACCAACTGTAAATCCACTTCGACCCCACTACCTCTGAACGCGCTGACGGTTGCCCTGGAGACTTCATCGCTCTCAGAAGGTTTCAACTACAGGAGGGCAGTGGGCCTGATCAACTATCTGGTTCAATGCACTCACCCTGACCTGGCCTTCTCGTGTAGCTATCTCAGTCAATTCCTCAACAACCCCACCAAAACTCATGAACATCAAGTCAAGCACGTCTTTCGATATCTCAGTCGCACTGTAAATCTAGCCTTAGTTTTAGGATCGGAGCCAACTCAGCCTGGTCTAATTGAAGGCTACGCCGATGCCAGTTATGAGAGTGGTGTCGACTCAGCCTCATTCTCGGGAAGCCTCATTAAATACTTTGGCACGGTAGGCTGGCGATGCCAGAAACAGGACGATGATGCTGCCTCCCTCTCCACCACCGAAGCTGAATACAGAGCCTGCTCTGAAACGGGCCAAGACATCCGATGGCTTGAGCAACTTCTTCTCAACATCCATCCCCACATAGGAGTCCAATCAAGCACTGCACTACTACACTGCGACAATCAGGGTGCTATCGCCCTGCTGAAAAACCCACAGTATCAACATCGCACTCGTCACATCAACGTTCGACACCATTGGCTACGACATCACATAGAACGAGAATCCAACTTCACCGTCAAATATGTGCGCACAGACGACAATCAAGCGGATTTCCTCACCAGACCTTTAGCGCCCATCAAGCTTCGCAAAGCGTTTCAGGACATACAATTGGAAGATGCCTAGCAAGCACGGGGGGCTGTGACAGTACAGCGACAGGGCTGAAGACAGGCGCGGCTATCTAGGAGGTTAGGGTTCAGGAGGAAAAGGGTGCTGCGGAATCTTGTAACTACAATCATCACCATTAGGGTTTTAGATCGTGTATTTAGATTCCACATACAGAACCTTGTTTTCCCTTTCTTTTCTTCTTTTCCTCACTCATCTAGTCGCTTCTTTCACTACACCTCAAATAGGTGATTAAGCTTTTCTTTTTCCTTCAGTCCTCGCTCCCCTACCTTGTGCTCACTGCGGACCACTGGCGTTTCTCAGGTTTGAACTTCTTTCTTCTTTTCTTTTCTTTTGTCTGTCGCTTTTCTTTTCTTTTTGCTTGCAATGCACTCATCTAGTCGCTTCTTTCACTACACCTCAAATAGGTGATTAAGCTTTTCTTTTTCCTTCAGTCCTCGCTCCCCTACCTTGTGCTCACTGCGGACCACTGGCGTTTCTCAGGTGATTAAGCTTTTCTTTTTCCTTCAGTCCTCGCTCCCCTAGCTTGTGCTCACTGCGGACCACTGGTGTTTCTCATGCACCCCCATCGCTGGAAACCGCCGTGGCCAGCTATCACGCCTAAGGTAATCTTTGCACCGGCCTTCCTCTCAACTATAAAAGACGTCCTCGCTTCTCTGTTTTCTTTTTCTCCTCACCAGCTCACATCCTCAGCTAGCTACTCCCATCCTTTCACCCTTTCCCATCACTTTTACTACCCATCACCACTTTCACCGCTTCCCTGTTCTGTCTTCATAACCATGTTGTCCATTTATGATGGTTACGACACCAACGACTTCTACTGCAAAGGTTCCTCCGACCCATCCATTGATGTAAGCCTTGTCCTTCCCTGATTTTCATTGGACCTCATCGCTAATGCTGTTTCTAATGTGTTGTTTTAGATTGGTGTGCGTTACTATCCAGATCGTGACCAATGGAGCCCAATCTTTGATCCTTGTGTGGTGGTAAGTCTATTGTTTGCTTTCCGCTCATCTTCACTTGGCTTTCATACTGATTGCTTTTCCTGGCTGTTGCTTCTTACTAGCCCAATGATGGTGCTGTTGGCAACAAAGGCCCAGTCAATCCTGTTGGCCACAAAGGCCCGGTTGATGTTAAACTTGTATGTTTTTCTTTGTTCTTTCTTGCTTTACCTTGACACCAGACTGATTTTTGTTTTCTGTTCTAGACTGTGGAGGAAAAGGAGAAAGCTCCGGCTGAGGCCACTGTTGATCCAGCCTCGATCAAAACCATTGTAAGTCTATCCTCTGCTTGTTTTGTCAGTTACTGATTCAGATTTCTTATTCTAGATTCCGTCTGAGCTGGCTTGCTCAGCTTTGTTGGTCTACATCCCAAAGGGGATGGAGATTGTTGAGACCAGGACCCACTACTTTCCCTTAAAGGATAAATGGCATGCGATTAACGACCCTTCTCGCCACTACAATTGTGTAAGCTGTTTCTTCTTTTCTTTTCCTTATTTAAGTAGCTAACTCCTTTCTTCTTCTTTTAGTCTTCTATTCCAGATAAGGTACCAATCCCTTGATTGTCTCCAAAGCTGCATCCATTTGTCACTGTCCCTTGGAACGTTCATGACCCCGAGCTTCCTCCTGGCCTTCCAGTTCCGTTCCTTCAAACTCTGAACCTTCCTGTCCCGGCTCCTTCTCATCCGCTGTTGACCTCTAACTCTGAATCCTCGTCCAACAACTTGGATGCCTCGTCCACCTATCCGCCAATCTCGGCCTATATCAGCTTGAATCACCAAGGAGTCCAAAAACTCCTCCTCAATGACAACACCCCACCAACCGCCGTCTGTATTTACACAGAGGAAGATGTTATGCGCTGGGCCAGCTACGCTAACCGTAGCGTTAGCGTGGCGTAGCGCAGCGGAAATGCGCTACTTTGTAGCGTAGCGTTAGCGAAAAATCCACCTTTCTTCGCTAACGCTACGCGCAAAGGGCACAAAGCCGCGTTAGCTGTTAGCGTAGCGTTAGCGCAGAAAGTCGGAATTGCGCTAACGCTACACGCTCAGGGCACAAGAAAGTGCCCGCTACGCCGCGCTACAGGGCTTTTTAGCGGGTTTTTTGCCTTTTTTGCCGCTAAAAGCGCTGTAGCGCAGCGTAACGCAGCGTAGCGGCTGTAGCGATGCGCTAACACTACCCAAAAACATGCCGCCTGTTAGCGGGGCTACAGCGTAGCGTAGCGTAGCGTAGCGTAGCGTAGCGTAGCGGCGGTAGCGGCACGCTAACACTACAGAAAAAAGGGCCTGTTTTTGCGCCGCTACGCTAACGCTAAGTGGCCCTTTAGCGTAGCGTAGCGTAGCGGCCCAGCGTTGGCTAGTGTTTGGCCAGAAGCCACAACTATTCCCCTCAGGCGACTCCTCTGTCGAGATGTCACCAGCACTGAAGACTTGGACTACAATACAAGAGGGCACCTGGTAAGAGGCGCGAGATGCACTGTGGACTAGTTGGGTGAAACAGGCAATACAACACAACAAACATCACAGGGATCAACCACCATTGGAACCGAATTCTTGGGCGCTGCTAGACTCAGCAGACTGGAGGGGCCGTCATCAAGAGGGAGTCGACAAACTCAAAGAATGTTTCAAAGGCCCATACCGTGTAATACAAGTGAGTAACCACGGACAAGATGTGGAACTTGAGCTCCCGGGAGGCAATCGTTGACACCCAACTTTTCATATTTCCAAACTGAAGCCGTACTACTTCCCAGAGGAAGACGTGAAACTGGAAGTATGGAGGTAAGTCCAATTCCTCTGGTGCACCTCTGGGTATCTCTACCTAAAATTGTATAAGCATAACCTCAGCCACGCTGTGAGCACTCAGTTATTGCACGTCACAGGATCACTACGGATGGCGGAATGGGGTTCAGATACTCGAGGACGGAACACTTTCTTTTCTTCCGACTTTCCCATCATCCCTTCTTCAAATTCCTCTTATTCCTCCTCTTCTCTTTTTCTCCTTTTTTTTCTTTTCTTAAAAATATCCTTTCTCATCCTTTCTTAAGGACTCATTGGTTTTTATGGTTATTTTCTCGTTTATCTCTATTCTCTTTCAATTCTTCTTTCTCATTTCGCCATGTCTTCATTTGCATTGTAGGGGGGTAGAATGTGAAACCTCGCTACACACGAGTTTCACAAACCAATCGCAAAGCTTACATAATCAATCTCAACACACTCAACCAGTTAAACTGCTCACCTCCACCCCTTCCTAGCTTGGTAGAGAACTTTCATCCTCTTTCTATCGAGCTAGGTAAGTCTAATCATTTCCATCTTTTCTCCTTTCATCTTTTGTTGTCCTTTTCTGATCTGATCACTACCTTGTACTGAGAGAACTTTCATCCTCTTTCTATCGAGCTAGACCATTGAAATTTAATAGAGATGGTCACGGTGAATCCAGATATCCGCGCGGATGCGGATATCCGCTCACAATTTCAGCGGAATTTGATATCCGCATCCGCAACCGAAACCGCTGGCGGATATCCCCTGGTTTTGGCGGGTATCCATACCCGCGGATACCCTCCCTTTAAATTGGCGGCGAGGCAGCCGGCTGGAAGGGTTTCCTTCCAGCCGGCGAGGTACATGTACCTCGCCGGCCGGAAGGATTTCCTTCCAGTTGGCAAGGTGCTCGCTGACTGGAAGGGCTTCCTTCCAGTCGACGAGGTACATGTACCTTGTTGGCCAGAAGGATTTCCTTCCTGCCGGCAAGGTACATGTACCTTGTCAACTGGAAGGAAGCCCGCCGACTGGAAGGAAACCCTTCCAGCCGGCCATCTCCTCTTTCCGGCCTCGGGTATCCTTGGGGATACCCGGATATCCCCCGGGATTTCACGGAAAAGGGGGCATCCGCACTCGCCAGCGGATATCCCCTGGCACTGGCGGGTATCCACCAGCGGATAGCGGATATCCGCAACGGATTATCCCTGCCCATCTCTAAAATTTAAGCACACATAGGTTCTAGAAGTTTCCCCAGCTACATTGCTGTCCTCGACGCCTTATAATTTACAACAGTGAAGAGTCACGACACAACTCTTACACTACACTTACAGTTAGTGGCCAAATAGCGTAGTGGTCCACTGTTGGTTGAAGGACGGCAGTCACTTTTTGTTCAGGGCTGAGTCCAAGTTTTCTGGTACAGTCTTGCCTCTGGACAAAGTAAGTATAGTTTGTGGCCAAGTCTCAAAGAATGCACCTGAAGGATTCCTTATGAAGTCAAAATTGTCTGGATAATTTGTGCTTGCAGGTAGCATTGTTGACAGTGTAGTCTTCCATAAGCTTATCATGGAAATTGTGTTGGTCCCTGTCTTTGTTTGGCATTTTTCTGGTACTTTCTTCCAACTGTGGGCCGCTACACTAAAGGGTGTTTTAGCGTTAGCAGCAGCTGATTTTTGTGTAGTGTTAGCCCATGCTACTCTACTTTGTAGCAGTGCTAACAACACACCTTTTTTGGGGTAGTGTTAGCACGCTGCTATTGCCGCTACACTACAGTGCTTGTAGTGGCAAAAAAGGCCAAAAAGCCACTGAAAAGAGCTATAGCGCAGCACAACGGGTGCTTTTTGGCGCCCCACGCGCGTAGTGTTAGCGCAGATGCGTGGAATCACGCTAACGCTGCTGCGCCTAGTGTTAGTGCAGAATTGCAGAATTGCACTAACACTACGCTAAATGTTAGATTATTTTAGTGTCTAATCCTAGGAGTAGGAGCTGATGCAGATGCTCTCTAAGGCCCCTCTTAGATGTTGATAACTGGGTGTGACACGTTTGTGATAGTCGTAGTGATGTTGTAGTTTCGCGCAT